GGCAGGGTGTAGAGGATGCAGCAATGAGAACTGAAACTATGAAAGCAATATTGGGATTTTGGATCCGAACAAGGTGGGTAAAAGGGGTTTCTTTTTGAATATTACCCGGGGTAAATCGCTGTGTTTACACGTGGCGAATCTGGGGATAGGGATGTATGCAGCCAATCATATTGTCGGATCTTGTGCAGCGTGGCTGTGAGCAGCCAATCACTGCCTCGACGAAATTAAGGTTGCTCTGTTACTTATGCAGACCGATGAAGCTCGCATTTAATCGACGACGAGATTTGACTGGCGAAGCAAACAAACAAATTTGAGCGAATAGGCCCTGAGATACGGATATTATAATATTATTTGAGAAAAGGGGCTGTGATGATTGCGAATAATTTCAGTAAACCCCATCAACTTCTTTTGTCTATCAATTTGACCCACATGAAGTCTAATTTTTCTGCAAGCTCTCTTTGGATTATAATTTTTATTACGGAGTAATTCAGTTTATAACTTTTATATATACTATAGGGTTTAAATTTTAGTTAGAATTTTGATTAGCCAGCATTATATTATAATTATATAATAAGAATTTAAACTTTTAAATTATGAATTTCGTTAATAGTAAGTAATAAAGTGTTCAGTTTATTAGTTGAATTATATTGTGTTTCGTGATGATGAGTCAAGCTTGTACTTAAGTTGAAAGAAACTCTTGTGCATCTCATCGTGATGACGACTTTAATGAGTAGATAAATAAACCTGGACTATTCTTCTAGTTTCATTTATATAACCAATTCAATTTTGAAAGAAGATTTGAAAAACAATTTCATATTTCATCTTGCAATTTTTATATTTTATTTCCATAGTTCTTAATTAAGGTAAGTCTTTCTTGTTGTTTTTTTCTTTGCAATTTCTTCTTTCAATTGTGATTGCAATATCTCTTGTTTTAATTGAAGCTTTCATTTACATTTCAATCCATGCTTAGCTAGATTCATTTTGAGATTGGATTAAGTCATTTTTTGTGATTGATATTATGTGATTAAATTGAGCTATGAGCTAGTGTAATGACTTGATTATGACTCTAGTTGTGATTTTGGTGGTTTGTACTGACTTTTGTATGGTTGTGGTCGAAGTATGCAAGAGGTACATGGAAAAGGTTTGTCACTACGATAATAGAACAATACCATATCCACACCTCTCACTAATCCAACTCACCTTTGAGAAAATGGGTTGGAATGAAGGAGATGCGAAGACCACACGTTTGATAAAATGTTTCAATGGCCTTAAGTCACAACGAGAGTGTGACTTGAAGTTAATTGAGAGTCCAACGACCACGAGAGTGGCGTTGGCACCTAGTACATCTCCCCTAGTTCCATTGTCAATGCATTACATGAGCTCTAACCAATGATACACTATATCATAATCTACACTCAAATGACCTAGTCCAAGCCCTTAGTTTTATTATTGATTGTTAATTGTTGCTTGATCTTTCATTACAATTTGATTGTCATTTCCTTTATTTTGTTCTTATCACATGAATAACATTTATTCCTTTGAACTAACTTCCAAACACTCTACACTCTTGTGATTAACCACCTACTATTCAACTCTCAATAGGTCCACTCATTGAGACGATATCCGATGTGAGGATACCCTCTCACACACACTCCATTCCACCACTTTTACACAACTTTCACATACATCTCTAAATATGGCATTAGAAATGATGACCAATTAATTTTGTGCATAACATATGTTAATAAGTTTGACATATTAAGGTTACATGTATGAAATTATTTATTATTTAGTCAGGTAGCAAGAACATGACAAATTGGAAATGAGATAAGGGAGATGACACTTTATTAGAAATAAGTTTTTTTTTCTTTTTCTTTTTTTTCAAGTAAGTTCCTGAAATAGTTTTATTTAGATTTCTAAAATGTATTTCTTCATATGAAAAAACTAGTTTCCAAAAGTTTTTAAGTACAAAAATAGTCTTTAAACATTTTTGAAAGTTTTGAAGAAATATATATGTTGAAAAAGTTTTTGAGAGTTTTCAAGAAATTGTTCAAGGACTTCCTTACCATATATGTGGGAGAGAGGGGAGGGGATGCTCCCCATCACCGTATACCGAAGGGCGTAAAAATTGCTCTATAACTGATTAACAATTACCAGTAGTAGTTGGTTGCACCCTACCAATCCTAGGGTTTTTACTTTTATTTTACACTTTTATTATTTACACCTCTAATTCGCTTCGTAACATAATAATTTCTTCAAAAATTTTAAATATAATATTTGAAATAAATAATACTTTAACATAAAATTTGTAATATCTAATTTCTAATTTAAATAGGTAAACTTTTATGTATCAATCAATATTTAAGTTAAATTTTACTCAAATTGATCACCAAAACTGTAAATAAGACATACGAAAATATTCTTAACATTTTTTTCCTCATGTATATTCTGATAAAATTTCATATATTCGGTAGTAAATGAGATCTTAATCTAGGTCCAATGATTTATTTTATTTTTTTGCAGTGTTAGAGCAACGATTGACAGGTACAAGAAACATCATTCTGATTCCACAAATACTGGATCTGTTTCTGAAGCTAACACTCAGGTAACATGAATGTGAAGGGAGATATTAAAATTATTATTAGCTTTAATTTTGGGAAAATATCATGATAGACAGTTAAGTTCATTAGAAGTATATACATATATATGGTGTGACACTGGCAAGAATAGAGTTATATTGTTATTAATACAATTAGCAGACTTATCCATATGACGACTATATGTGATGTTTTGAATTTTATTTGTGTATTTTGAATGCTAAAATTAAAATACTACAGACTTTCACAATAATTGTACTATTCTCATTACAAAGTACACAAGCTTTTGTATAGGACTAATTCTACACATAAATATCCAATTCTTTCTCTATTAGAGTGGGCTTGTTTAAATCTTTCTTGCAGTATACTATATATTGTGCCAAATGTATCCTACTTTTGTTGCTGTGAAGAAGATTAAGAACGTAATAGTATAGATATATAATATTGCGTTGTGCATTGCCAGTTTTACCAGCAGGAATCAGCCAAACTGCGGCGCCAAATAAGAGAGATACAAACTTCAAACAAGTACGTACTCCAAATCAATATATAGTAGAGTGTACTAATAGTAATCACACTTGCTAATAATGCGATTCGCAGGCAAATTCTTGGAGAGTCGCTCGGCGTTTTAAACCACAAGGAACTCAAGAATCTGGAAGGGAAAGTGGAGAAAGCCATTGGAAGAGTCCGCTCCAAAAAGGTGTGTACTCCGCTCCTAAATGATTAAGTAAACTAGAATTACATTTAAATACCTAGGCAGACTCGATTTACTTCCTCATGGATCTTGAGTAGGTTCTGGGTTATAAGTATGTATATAGTAGGATTCTGAAGTCTGGGTTTGTATTTCCAGAATGAGTTGCTGTTTTCTGAGATAGAGCTGATGCAAAAGAGGTAAGCACTCATTGTTTATCTTGTTTCTTGCAAATTAATTAAGGATGAAAATGTTCATATATATCATATATGTATGCCTGCTTTCATCCTTAGCTTGCACTTGCTATATATAAGTTTTTCAAACTCTACTGGTGCAACTTCTTCCAGGAGATTGAACTGCAAAATGCCAACATGTATCTGCGAGCAAAGGTCTGATTCGATCTCTTGACCTTAAAAAGACTTTCTAGTACAGAATGTAATATATTATACCATACCGCGGATTAGATAGGTAGTTCTACTTACTGACTGTAGAAGCTTATGCAAGGTGAAATGAATGATATTGCAGATATCTGAGTTTGAAAGAGCACAACAGCAAATGAACCTGATGCAGGATCTGAATACCAGGAGACTATGACAACTTCCCAGACTTACGACGCTCACGAACTTTCTTCCATTAACTCTCCTCGAGCTAATCAACATTACTCTCGCCACGACCAAACAGCTCTTCAACTCGTGTACGTGTTTTAATTTGCTCTCTTACTGTCTTCAACAAAGATGCATGATTGGCAATATAATGATTTGATGATTTTTTCTTTCTTTCTGCTGATGATGGCTTTAATTTGGAACAGGTAACTGACCTGGGAAAGACCTTAAGTGCAATCAGGTCGATCTGTACGTCTGCTATCTATTCTGTCATGGGAATGCATCACCTTGTTTATTTTTCTGCTTTTTTATAGTTTTGTAAAATCGTTCATTAAGATCAGAAGAACAAGTTATTTCCAGTTCAAGCAATGGCTCTAATTAGCTGCTTGCCCGTTTTGTGCTTAAGAATTTGAATCGGGTTTAGAGAGAGAATATTCTTGTTTGATCCATCCTTCCAGTGGTTCAGACATCTAAAGCTCTCTGCTAATATATACAATGGTGTTGTTTCCTTTGCTACCTTCTAGATTGCATCAATCAGAAAGGACCGGCCTATCTATCACAAACAAAATAACTCATAATACATGTCTTAATGTTTTAGTCCTGTATGGTGGCTGTTTGCATAAAAAGGAAGAAGCGATGATTTAAAGCATTATATTGCCATATTGGTTGACTAAGAACCAGAATTATAGTGTTCTATTTAACTCATAATGACATATGCTATATATATCGATGTCGTTAAAGTCAGATTTCAAGACTGTATAGGGCTAACCTTCATCTATTCCCTATTTTATGGACAAGGAAAACAATCTCAGTAGTATAAGCAGAGACTGGAAGGCAATACCTTCTTCCCCCTGACTCAAACTATTTCTCTGATAACTTCTTTCCGAGTGAGGAGAGACTTACGCCCTCTTTGCTCTTGCGCTCACAATTCCGCAATCCCTGACAAATTCATTTGAGAAATTTACATTTCGGCTCCACAAGCTTTGTATCTTAGGGCTGCAATCTCAAGCCACGGCTTCGCTGGTCCACTGAAATGTATTACAGCTGCAGCTTTCAACACTGATTCTTCAACTTGTGGAAATCGATCACCCAATTCAGCAACATGCCATGAAGGATCAATTGGCTGCACCTTACCCTCAAAAGCTATTAAAGCAGGCGGAAGTGCTCCAGGACGCCATAATTCAAAACCAGAGTTGAGGTTCTGCAAATCATACAAAGATTAACCAGACTTATTGTGAAGGTTTAAGCTTTGCTCAATCTATGGTCCTCAGTGTGGTGCACAGAGCAATGCTGGAAATGCCAGTCAATAAAGCAATTGATTGTGGCTGAACTGAATGCACTTACATATTTAAGCCATTGATGATAAGTTGCAGTAATATTTGCCTTCCTCCATGCTTGGAGGTCAAAGATGTTCATTCCATAAAGCCATCCACACTGATCATAGTTTAACTTGGATGATATGAATGGGTTTGTGAAATTGAAATAGTCCATATATTTTCTTCCAGGGCAACATCCATATCCACACGACGAATCAAAAACTGCACCAACAATTTTGCCATTGAGGTCTAAATCCCACAGAGATGATAAGTCATGTTGAACAACAGTATCATCATCCAAGAATACAATCTTGTTCAGATCTGGAAAGAGCTGAAATTGGGTAACTAATCAATCTTCACTAAATGGACAGCATTGAAGATCATCCTTTATCAGAAAAACAGATGAAATTAAGTAATTACCTCAGGGATATAAATGCGGAGGTGATTCAAAAGGGATATGCTGGTTGGCCATTGATAATCTAGATCCTTGTCAAGCTTATCTTCAAATGCAGCAACTTCATCCTTGACTCTATCAAATTTGTGGCCCCAAATCAAGTTATGAATCTCTAGCATCTGCTTAATCCCAATATTCACATCATGAGGCCAATCATATTGGTGCAGGCCTTTTACTTCCACAACAGCTGAGTTAACGGAATTCATTGCAAACCATGCCATGCATAGCAGTGTATGTTTTCTTATCAGTCACTACATGAAACACCATCCTCTCTGGGTCATTGAGCTTTTGATGGTAGAGGAGATTACAACAGAGGCAGCAAGCACATTGTCCGTTAGTAGAACAACGGTGTTGGAAAGAAGGGTCAGTGAGGCGGGAAACATATTCTGGTGCAGGTAAGCGAGATCGTGCCACAGCATTCACTGCATATTCCTCAGCCAGCTTGAGAGAAAGACAATGCATCCATTTGGGTAACCATGAGAAGCGAAATGCCAGTAAATGGACTCCTGCTTCCTGGCTGATTGAACCATCTGTTCATCTTCAACATCTAAATGCAAAATAGGCATTCACTGTTATTATTGTTAGTAATTGTCTTTTAATAAGTAGTAATTTATCATATATGGTGCTGGTAACAATCAAATCAACAATTTATAGTTCACTGACAATTTTCTAGGTGCAGAAGGCACCCAGTTAACATATCAAGTCACCTTGAAATAGAAGGCAGTTAAATTACCAGTTTAGTGGAGTAGCAACTGCATGCAAAAAAAACCTTATATAAAATTGACATCCCAGATTTATACCAAAAGTCCAAAAATAGAATGTACTCTGTATATTGCTACATTAAATGCTTAGTTGAAAATGAAACTATGGTCCAAAACAAGAATCAAGCACTAAAAAAGTTGTTAATTAATATGACATACTTTCTAAAGATCTTAATTCTTAAAAGTACTTCAAAAGTGCCTTCAAAAAAAAAAAAAAAGTACTTCGAAAGTCTGAAAGCTGGAATCAACAAGTAAAAGAACAAGTAGTTGTGTCTATAACAACAACAACACTACTACTAGTACTACTACTACTAATAATAATAATAATAATAATAATAATACTCTGTAATAAAGAATCCGAAGTTCAAAGAAGTATCATGACAGCATTAAATAAAGTCAAGTTACATAATTCCAGGAAGAGTAAAAGGTTCAGAGCTAAGCTTTCTGTATATTCAGCCATTCAGGAAAGATAAACTTAGACAAACTTTGGTCTGTCACTGCAAGATGCATTTATCCTACTAAACGAGTACAGAGAGCTCCCAAGAAAACAAATTTCATCATAGGAGTAGGAGAGGACAAACTGGTCCTAGTTGTATTTGAAAGATGCCAAAACAAATATGGTCCCACAAATTTATTTAGAGCATTTTTCCAAGGCCTTAGTTACACTGCAACACAAACAATATCAAGCAGGTATATGTGGCTAAGATTTGATTCAATGGCCTTTCAAATAGTAGCATACCATCACCCTCATTTAATGTGGCAACACAATTTCAAGATTCATATCTTCAAATGTTGCTTACCATATTACAGTGAGAATTGTATACAAAAACAGTACAATATATTTAGAAAATATTGATTAAATATTTTAATGTAAGACAATAAGCAAGCTAGATGTATTGCTATAAGCAAGTTATATATTGGGTCAAGCAGAGAGTTAACTGTAAATGAATAAAGGGAAACAACCCAGAAGTAAAACCAAGTAAACAACAAAAATCACAGTGCAGGTGGTGAAAGTAGTTTTTTTTTTTTTTTTTTTTGAATGGTGGTGAAAGTAGTTTGTTACCGTAGCTTTAGCCTTGAAA